AGGAGAGTCACTGAACTTGGGAAAAAAATGCACTTTGGGTCACATAGAAAAAGAGATAGAAAGTTGTCCACTCCTCTGGTTTATAGCTAGTAAAAACTTAATATACAAATGACACATAATTTAAAAACTATTCTATATTATCATCACTGCTGAGAAAAGCTATGGAGGCTGGAAAGTTGTGGAATTAGGAAGGGTAAAGAAATACAAACCCAGTAACAAAGACACACAGGCTCACTCACAGATTTTTCTGGAGTAATATCATCACCTTGTGGCCAGAGAAGATATTGCAGCTAAAGACAAAGCACAAGGACAAGTTTGGGTTTACAGCTATTTCTGTAAAATGTATCACCCAAGTGTGCTGAAATATGTTCCTTGTCTCTTCTTCTTGCTGTACCATCTCCATATACTGTCTCACCACTTTCAAATACCACCTCTTCCAGGGTTTAAAGCATTATCCATCCACGCGTGGCCTGACCTACACTGTTTTACCCACCCGGGTCAAGAACTTGGCACAGTACGGAATGGCTATCCAGGACACGTGCCGAGAGGTCCCTACCTACTTTGCCCAGCAGCAAAAAGAAGGTGCGTTAGGAATTTAACTAGAAACCAAAGACCTTTGGTGAGACAAAAGGTGCAATACAATTTTTAGGTCATTGGGCAATTCTAATGACATTTTTTGGGGTCTATTCCATTTCTTTGCTACTGGGTAGAAAAGTAATGTGCCCTGGGATATATTTTCCCTGGTGGCAGAGATGATCTGCTGTCATCAGGGCTCACTGAGAACAGGAAGCAGAGTGAACTTAGCTTTCCCAGATGGTTGAGGGCTGCCATTTCATCATTTGACAGTTGGCAGATACCCTCACTCAACCCAAAGCTTCATCAACTCCTGCCCAAGTCACCCAGTGGCTGGTGTCACACCATTACAGGTCCATCACTTTGGGGTTCTCAGTCCTCCTCTTTCTCTGGCTTCCCAGAGGTTGGAATGCAGGACCCTAGAAGTTGTAGACTGCACTGGGGAAGGAGCACCTCAGAGGCTGGCTCTCCTGCTGGGGATGTGGTGGGGATCAGTGGTGGTTGGCTTGAAAAACTACTAGATAACATCTCAAAACTACCTGCTACTCCAGATATAGTCAGTAATCTTTTCCCATTAGGCTAGTGCCAGTCACTTACATCTTAGTATAAATTAACCCAATGAACAAGGCTTTTTAATAACAAGAAGATCCAGCAGGAAAACAGGGAGAACTTGAGGGGTTGGGGATTGGGAGTATGATTACAGGTCAGTAAAAATAGAAAGGGGGGGGAATGCAGGGCCAATTTTGCAGCACAGGGGAGAGCTCCCATTTTAGTCCCATTTTAGTCTCTTGCTAGTAGAGCTCTCCTGAGCATCACATCGATTTAGGTGCAGGATGTAAGATATCCACTCTACTTTGAGGTCTGAAAGTGATTGAGTAATTATTTTGTAAAATGCTCCTCTTTCTTCTTAAAGGTACCGCACTGTCAGTGGACCCTGATTCATGTTTTGAAATCCAACTTCTGTACTTTATGGGGATCTCCATCTGCGGGGAGATCCCTGGGCTCTAAACCTCCAGGTCCTCCATGTGGAGAATGGGCCCGCCTAGACGGGGCTACTGGCCTGAAATCAGCACTTAGGGGCTCAGCACTCCCATCTGCCAATAAAAAGCTCCTTGTTTCTACTTTCTACCTTTTGACCCAAGATCCAGCTTTGTAACCTGGAATTTTGGGTACAGTTTCTCCTTCTGGGTCAGAACAATAAAGTTTCTTGCCTCACTGGTCTAGCAGATGATGGTCTAGCCCTCCCTGCCTGCACTGTCCTCTCTCGAGTTACTGGCATCCCCCTCCACATGCATTCCACAAAACTGCATGCCTGTATGGTGTGAAGGAGGAGGGGCCTCTCCTAGATTGTCTCAACTCTAAAGGCCTCTCTTAGGGTGTCCCTTACTAGGAAATAATACCTTGATAAATAAATAACAAAAAGATGCTAGCCACAGCATAGACAATCTGTCATGTCTGAGGCCATATGTCTGATTCCTGCAAATTGGTGCTAAGATTCTATGAAAGCCTATTCACCATGGTAACCCAGCCTGCACCATGCAAACCCCTAAGAGAGATCCAAGTGAAATTAGACCTCCAAGGCCTCCCCTTGGAACTGGTCTAAACCTTCCTAGTAGTTTAGATACCGTAGTGGTAAGTCCTAGCCATTTCCCTCTGCTACAAATGAATAAGGGGGCTGGTTTCTTAGCACTGGTTCTTTAACGGTCTATTCCTGGGGCTGGGAGGGACAGAGACAGCTCCACTCCCACCACACAGACCATCCCTGGCTCCCCTTACCTTAGACACAAGAATAAACAGAGGAAGGACTATTTAAGATACAGATGCAGATAGCCACAGAGGTTGTGTTGGAGTTTGGAGCACTTTAAATAGTGTGGGACTGGGATGGGATTGGCCAGGGAGTGGGGAGGGGTGCAGTGAGTGGCAGAACTCTGGGTGATCTCAGCACCAATTTGCAGGAGACAGAGCTGAGCACCAGCGCTGTAAAGTATGATGTGGTGTGGCTACCTACAGCCATGAACGGAAAGGCAATTGCAGAGAAAGGTCCAAGATAAACCTCTGGGCTTAACTAGGGTATGGTTGGACAGACCAGATGCTTGGAACCTATGGATTTGGTTGCATGCAGCTTGTTGAGGGTGAGGAAGGTGGAGATATGTGCATAAACACATTCAGAGTGGAGGTATCAGATGTGACAGGCCAAGGCTGAGCAGGGTTAACTGACTTAAAGAAAGCAGTCATGAAAAAGTAGAACTCACAAGTTTGTTTTAAGAGTGGGAATCTATATATATAAAAGCCTAAGCAACCATTCGACCGTTTGGCCAGTAGCTATGACGTGCACTGACCACCAGGGGGCAGACGCTCAATGCATAGGCATGGAAACATGGAACAGACTGATGAATCTCAGAAGAAAAGGGAAGGTGGGGGGTGTGGGAAGAGATTAACCAAAGATCTTATATGCATACTAGAGGCCCGGTACACGGATTTGTGCATTGGTGGGGTCCCTCAGCCTGGCCTGCGGGGACTGGGCTGAAATCGGCAGTCTGACATCTCCCAAGGGGTCCCGGATTGCAAGAGGGCACAGGCCAGGCCAAGGGACCCCACCAGTGCACGAATCTGTGCACCAGGCCTCTAGTATCATTATAAACATTGATGAGAATAATACATCTCTGAGCATTGGATTCCAAAGGAAGTTACCAATTAAAATACCCTTTTTTACCACCCCCACCCCTACCAATTCTGGCCACAGGAATAAGTATGTATCCCCAAGTTATTCTGTTATGGTCCCTTCCAGACGATTTTAAATTTGAAATTCAAACAAGAGGAGTCTCTTTCTTTCTGACAATGATGCTGGGAAGATGAGGACCTTGTTGGCATCTGCTCTCCTGGAGAAAGCTAATGTAAGATTCTGAGGCTAATGTGGAGGGAGAAAGAATGTTGAGATGGGTAGGGGAGGGAACGAGTCTGGCCACCTTAAAGTACCCAACTCTAGCCACCCAAGACCAGAATATCCCTATCCTCCTATACTAAGCTGGGACAATGAATTCCACTCCATCTAGCCTCTGTGAATTAGATTTGGGTTCCATCACTTGCAAACATTAAGATTCCAGCTAGTACACTCGATCATTCATTTTGCACTTTAATGTATACTCTTTTACTATTGTTTCAAATGTTTTAGATACATTTCTCACTTCCCCAACAAGAAAATAACTTTATTGTCTATGGCAGTTTTGTCTTGGGCCCCTTCCTCTAGCATGCCTAATCCAGTGCTGAGCCATTGTAAGTGCTTTAAATGTATTTAGTAATGGTTATTAAGAAGAACAGTGTTAAGCCCTGCTGGTGTTGCTCAGTGTTTGAGCATTGACCTATGAACCAGGAGGTCACGGTTTGATTCCCAGTCAGGGCACATGCCCAGGTTGTGGGTTCAATCCCCAGTGTGGGTGGTGCAGGAGGAAGCCAATTAATGATTCTCTCTTGTAAATGATGTTTCTATCTCTCTTTCCCTCTCCCTTCTTCTCTGAAATCAATAAAAAAAGAAGTACAGTGTTAGGAATAGGAGCAGTTGATGATCAGTCAACATGAGAACCAGCTACAATGTGGGTCACGACCCCTTTGGTGGTCGAACGACCCTTTCACAGGGGTCGCCTAAGACCATCCTGCATATCAGATATTTACATTACAATTCATAACAGTAGCAACATGACAGTGATGAAGTAGCAACGAAAATAATTTTATGGTTGGGTCACAACGTGAGGAACTGTATTTAAAGGGCCAGAAGGTTGAGAACCACTGAGCTACATGATCTGGAAATTTGCCCACATTATGCAATTTCTTTGTCATATTGGAAATTGCTTCCCTTCTATATAGGGACTTGGCATTCCCAGATCGGTTCTTACTTCTGCTGGGATTTTCAGCAAAAGTTCCCTGGGTGATGGGTGTTCCAACTTCCCTCTCTCCTGGGACAAAATATATCATGATAGTGTTTATTAAGGGTGAATCTACTGTGTTGATGAGCTAAAAGGCATGTGAATGGCCCTCAAAGCTTAGTGCTTTGTCAGAGGAGATAGTTTTCTTCATCTGAGTAGTCAAGTTTTTGCTAAGGGTACCCCAAATCCATGCCCCTTCACTAGGTGGAGGTTAGTGCCACCTGAGCCCCTGCTTCCCCCTGGGCTGCCCTAGGGTGTTGGACAGACAAAGGGGCAGCTGGTCAGTGAACAGATGCAAAGATGGAGACTTGCACCCACAACGAGCCTGTATGTGGCCCAGCCATATTATTTGGAGATTTTCACACTTCGTGTACTTGACTTGAAATCCTGGCAATTTCTCTCCTTCTATATATTGACATAAACATCATTTGACACCCCTTTGCTATTTACAAAAAAAGCAAACACTCAGATAGCTATAAATGTTGTATTTATGTTTTACTACTGAATCTCAAAATTAGTTGGGGTTTTTGGAAAGAATTTAATTTGTCTTCTGAGGTGAAACCAAAGGGCATATTTCATTGAAAAGATGCAACCAGTGGGCCGAGGCTTAAACATCGATGCCTCCACAGATGGAAATCCCAAGGATGCCCAGGAGGCCAGCCTTTACACAGCCATGAGCACCGGCATCATCTGAAAAGGGGGAACATTTTTGAAGAAAGAAGAATGAGAAATACATTATTAGAATGCAGCAAATCAGAGCCTTTTGTAAATGTCTTGACTGGGGGCTGTACACGTAATTTCACGTTACCCAAGATTTTAGCTATACATGTACTGCAAAGGATAATAATATCCTAGCTTAAATAGACGGACAATTCCTGGAAGAGATGTCCGGCTCCGTTCAGTTGATGCTCTGCTTAATGCCATGCTATGTGTCTTTACTTACAAATGCTAATGACCTTACTAAAAGAAAAATGTCTTAACTAAATTTTTTTTTTTCTGGGCAGTAGAAATGTATTGAATGCTAATTCTTTTCATCTTTATCTACCTCCCACAACTCTGGGGAATTTGTGTTGTTGTGTGCAACATCTGTGGCCCAGCCTCTTTGGCTCTGGCCTCTCTTCTGTATTTAGAAAATATGTATAAAAATACCAGTAAAGCCCAGCGACCCATGAACTAAGAGGTCACCAGTTCAATTCCTGGTCAGGGCACATGCCTCAGGTTTTCCTTGACACCCAGGAATCTTTTTTTATCCCATTCTCTGTGTTAACTGGTCAACTTCTCCGCCAGATTATATGTTCCTTGGGGGCAGAGTTTTATCCATTTCTGTATCTCTCCTAACATTTAGCACAATGTCCACATGTGGTCAGTATTTAATTCCCAAAGCAAACCAGATTGAGTCATGTTTTATATTTGTATTTCACACAACACCTAGCAAAGTGTTGGCACATTAGAGGTTTCAGAAAATATTGGGTGAAGAAATGATTTATTTGTACTCACGTGGTTTTTCAACCACTTCTGCCTTGTACAAGGGGAGGTGTTTGCAGAGCTGCTCGATGGGTGACCCGAAAAAGAACCATTTCATGTCTGTGAACCAAGACTGCAGCGGGTTGTACTTGACCCAGGTATATTCGGTGGAGGACATGGTCTTCAGAGCCTAGATCAGTATAATAGAGTGGGACTGGATAAAAATACGTTGACATAACCTGGTGTACCTCATTCTCAATTGTGACTTTTTTTTCTTTCAGGTTATTAAGTAGAAGGTGGTCAGGAATCTCAAGACATCTTCTCTTCCTGACCACTTGGTCTTCAGAGAATCCTCATTACTACCAATATTATTTTGCTGGTGATGACAATGAAACCCAGAGAGGGTGATGCCTATGCCCAAGGTGGCACAAATGGGAGGGAGAATTAAACCCCAGATGTCTAGCTTCATGATGTTTTTTATAATTCTCACTATATTATATTGTTTCTTTGCATGTTGTGTCATTGAATATTATAACTTCACTCCTTTTCTCTTCCCTTCAGTCTTTCTTAGATCCCTGCTCTGAAAAGAGAAGCTGTGCAGTCCTTTCTACAGAAACAATGGGATTTACTATAAGTTCTTGTATTGGGAGCTCTATGGTAGAAATCAAGCTAAGAGATATACTCCTGCATCAAAAACAATAAATGTGAAAATACTCTAATAAGTGGATAGTAATAAGATATAAAATTATGATCCCTTACCCTCTTCATTTCTCCATAGTCACCAGTTTTTCCTGGCTCAAGAACATGGAATATTTAAGGCCACACCAGAATTACCTTCCTCTCATAGATGAACCGTTTGAGTTGGTCCAGAGCAGGGATGGCATCATGGTTCATCTTCATGACGTAGCAGGCTCTTCGGGAGAGGATCCTGGATGCGATGTAACCCTGAGGCAGCAAGAGCACAGTTACTGCCCCTCCCAACTCCCTGGATTCTGAACTTGGTGAGAATGATGTGTGGACCTTGAGAAAGCCTTGAACATGCACAGTGATTGCACATGACTGATTTTTAATCTGCAATAAATCCTATCCATTCAACTTCTTTGACATAGTATTTTTATTTCTTCACTTGTCATCTCCATCTCTGAAAAGTGGGCCACATGATTTGTTATGGAATGAAGGTCTACAGTTTGCAATTTGAAAGATTGAGAAGCAGCAGCTCTCTGTCTCTATTGATTTTGTGACGCTTCCCCTTGATTTGGAGTACATGCAATATTCTTTAGAACTGAGCTTTCCAATATGTTAGTTATTAGGCACATTGTAGCTCTTTAAATTTAAATTCAATAAAATTGAAAATGTACTTCCTCTGTCACACTTTTACCCAGGCACAGAGCGGTGCACTGTGGATATAGGTAGATTGTTGTCTTCAAGGGCTCCATAGCCACAAGGGCCAGCTGCTTCCCTTTTGGGAAATGTGGGTGTAGAACATTTCCACCATTGCAGAAAGTTCCATTGGACAGTGCTGGTCTAGAAACTCTCCTTAACATACCCATGCCCACCCTCATCCCCCATACACACTTGCTTCATCTATTCTTCCCTTCTCTACCACCTTCTCTCCATCTTTTCTCCACCTCTAATCCAAGTTGGCTGGGTAGGGATGGGTTGGAAGAAGTTGGAATTGGAAGAGCAATGGAGGGTGAGGACCTTGGAGCCAGAAGGAACCTAAGGGCATCTAATCTTCATCCAGTGTGGTACTCTTTAGAGTTCCAAATAGTTATACAGCCTAGAAGACTGTATGTAACATCAACCCTTCTGCTTCCTATTTTTCAATTCTCACACATTTTCAGTTCCTAAAATTCAAAAATAGACTGAGACCAATGGTGATGATCATGGAAGAGTCTTACATCCTCACCACTTCATTTTTTTAAGACACTTTTGGGATTTTCTTGACATCTGCTTAAAAACAATTTCAGTAGAACTTCCTTTTAACCCATGTTTTTCAAAGACTCTATACTTTCAAATGTGTCCTGGAACTCCCAATACCAATGGGGAGAAAACATGTGAGGATGCTTGTACAAGACAAGAAGAAAAATGTATCCAGACATCCAGTGAGAGGGACGACAACCTTCCCATATCCACAGTGCATAGCGTTGTGCCTGAGTAAAATCAAACTCATAGTTACAGTGAACAACCAGAAAATAAGCAAATAATACACGGAAAAAGGACAGAATATGTTTTCTGAGCAGGTTTCTGAGATTTTTTGTTAATAACAGTAACTAAAACTTGGAAATAGTTTGGTGTTTTAATTAACATACAGAAGAAGCATGCTTACAGAAGAAGCATGATTTATTGTGTAGCCTACATGCAGAGTTAAATGTGTATAGTTGTTCTGGATTTCTGGTCACTTGTGACTGTTTCATGATCGCTCTTTTTCTGAACAATTTTTTGTATGAGAAGCCCCAATTCATTCATTTATTTATTCGATAAATATGTTTTTAGAGTCAGTGCTATGCATTGCTTTGGGCTTTGTCCATTCTTTCTGAGCCTGTAGCGAGACAGTATCATCATGCTTTCAATTTCCACCTGAAAAGGTCAAGTAAACGTGTATGTTTCCTATGTCATATTTTTGTCTCAGAAATGATTTTGTCTGTTTGTTCATCAATAGCTTGATTATTTAAAAGGAGAAGCAGAAGGACATGCTGATGGACTCGCAGGATAGATTATAGGATTCAAGTAATATAAACATTCCCTTGCAGCTTACATGCTTATAGTCAAAAACGGTGGTAGAGGAGCACGACCCGGCATGGATGTTAACGATGGCAGTGTTTTTTTCATTGTCAATTGTCACTGTCTCCTGAATATTGCCACCATTGTTGTTTGGGCTGATGATGTTAAAAACCTAGATTGGCCACAAAGACAAAATGGTTTTTCTATAAATCACATGCATTTGAAAGAATCCCTCCCAGCAAAATAGAGCCTTATATCTACTATGAACAAGCAATTAAAGCCTAAAACCTCTCCACTGGGAACCCAGACCAAAAGCACATGTTAAAATAAGAATGTAAAATTCTTTCTCATAGTGGACAATTGTAAGGGAGAAGCAATGATATCACAGGAGAGATGAGACTGACCACATTTTAAAGCAATGGTTTACATTTTTTAAGGTATTGCCATTGGAAAGAAATACTCAATCTCATTGTTTCCATTACTGGTTATTTCTGGGTTCTATCCCAAATAGGTCATATGGACTCTCTACTGTCCTTCAGATTATCTTGTATCTTCCTTTTCCTCTCCCAACATCTCCAAACTAGAAAGTTCGTCATGAATCAACTCACCTCGAATCCATGAGACTGTGTTCCAAAGATGGCCAGCACCACCAGAAATAACACCTGAAAAACAGACCAGTCACTTTCATTCCCAATAAGGTAATCATTGAGGATCGAGACATGAGAGGACACTGGACAGGACAAGCATAAATATCTCAGGAAATATAACCTAGAGACACTGGTGTGTGGTCATGGATGGTCAATAGTCCAAAGTATAAAACACACACACATTCACTTGGTTGACAGGTATTTATTGAATTTTTTGTCACCCAGTTCCCAGCCCTTTCTAACATCAAAACCTTTTACATAGCATGTGTTCTTATGCCAGGAAGAACTTAGGGCAGAGGAGCAGTGAGAAATGACTGATTTTACTATGGGAATGCCCTGGTGTGGTTCATTCTGGCTTTGGATTGCAAGAGGTCAATTTGTGTCCTCTGGTAAGAGAGAGAGAGAGAGAGAGAGAGAGAGAGAGAGAGAGAGAGAGAGAGAGAGAGAGAGAGAGAGAGAGAGAGAGAAGGAAGGAAGGAAGGAAGGAAGGAAGGAAGGAAGGAAGGAAGGAAGGAAGAAAGAAAGAAAGAAAGAAAGAAAGAAAGAAAGAAAGAAAGAAAGAAAGAAAGAAAGAAAGAAAGAAAAGGGACCTAGCCCATTTGGCTCAGTGGATAGTTCCTGGACTGAGGGGTCCCAGGTTCGTTTCTGGTCAAAGGCATGTATCTCGTTGCAGGCTCAGACCTCAGCTCAGGTTGGGGTGCATGTGGGAGGCAACCAATCAATGTCTCTCTCTCACATGGATATTTCACTCTCCCTGTCTCTCCCCTTCCCTTCCAATCTCTCTGAAAATCTATGGAAAAATATTCTTGGGTGAGGATTAACCAAAAAAAAAAAAAAAGGAAATGAGAGGGTAAAACATGTTAAACATGGATTCACGGACAATAGACACAATGGGTTTTTAAGGGAAAATATGAAAATAAGAAAAAAAAAAAAAAAGAAAGAAAGAAAATAAGATGCTTGGGGGCATGGCTAACTTTTGAGGCTGACATCAAGGAAAACCTTCTTATTCTCCCACAACCTATGCCTTAGTGTTACCATCAGAGAAAGGTTAGGCTACAGGCCATGTAACTGACACTGAGGCAGTTCTGACACTTAGCTATAGTTGTGTAAAAGTCTAACCCAATTCTCTGATCCTGGTTTTGTGCTGTCTTTTCTGACATCACAGTGCACCGCACTATCATTGAAAACTGCTGCTGGAGGGCATCTGCTAGAAGGCCGGTATTTTTAAGAACTGTCAGTGGGACTTTTCTACTGCCCCTTCTATATTGCCAATAACATTTCTCTCCTGATGGCTGGGGGTGGAGTGTCTGACAAAGACCACCCACTGATCTGCATAGGGACACATCTTCTCTGACTCCAGGCTGGTTCTAGTAACCTCTGACACTCCTATGTATTCTATTAATGAGGCGTGAACAGGTGGGTGGAGGACTGACCACCTTAGTGGTATGATTAGAGAGGGCTCAGGAAGTGCCTCCTGCCTCCAAATAACCACCTACTCAACACTGTGATTAATATACCACAGCGATAGGTCTGTGCTTCCAGTTAGGTCTCCTCTTGGAAAATCAAGAGGCTCCTGGGAGAGGAAACTCTTTAAGTTGACAGTCTTTCACACCTTGTGGGGAGGTACTTATCATTTTGCTTTCTCCCATGGCTTCTAAATGAGAATAACGGATAGAGACTGGGACAAGGAATTCTGATATAAAACAGAACATAGTCCACTGGCCATGGAGCACTGTAGTGAGGAACTATGGGAGATTGGGGCTGGACTGAGATCAGTTGGAGGGGTATAGGGGTCATGACAGGGATGCTTTGCCAGGATTCTCCTGTAAGTGGGGCCTAAGATGGGTACATTTCTAGCCTAAATCCCAAGTTCAATGGCTTGGGAAAATCAAGTTTCTCCATGTCTCAGTCTTCTCATCTGTAGAATGGGGTAATACTCAGCTCAGAGTTGTTGAAGTAACTAGATTAAATTATTCATGTGATATGTTTAGCATATTTCCTAGTATACACTTGGAAATAACTTCTGCTATTATTATTGTTGTTAATATTTTTAATGTTATTATTTTTAAATTACCACTTCTCTTTTTGATAGTAAATGAAGTTATCCTGAAATGCTTACATTCCCTCCAAAGCTCATAATAAGAATTATTATTAAAAATTCTCCACATTAAAATTCTCTAGTTATTGCCAAAAACTTTTTCTTTGTATTTTCAGTAAACATTTCAAAATACAGACAATAAACAAATACATATTTGACTTAATATTCAACACTATTCCTAAAAAAAGACATCATTAACTCAATCACAGAAACTTATCTAAGAACCCTGAAATCTAAGGCATATTGGATACGAACATTCTCTGCAGGCAGCCACCACAAGAGTATAAAGAAGCATAAACAAATACTCACAAGGGTTTTCATTTTGTCGGAAGGGAAGAAGATGCTGGAGCAAGTGAGGCTGCCTGGAGCAGCTCCTACCCTTTATATTGGTTTCAAGGTGTGGAAATCTCTTTCCAGACCGATCACTGTGGAAAAAGCTGTGTCATATCCGACACACCCCAGCAAACTCCTTTATCGAGATTGAGACCCAACCACATAACCTGATATCAATGAAGTTCATTAGTCAGTAGTGAAAATTCACCACTTGGTCACTCTGTAAATATTCCCTGCTTATCTGCTCTGTGTTGCACATGAGAGTTCAATTTCCACCCTTTAAAAACATTGTGAGATGCTTGTTTTATGCAGACATCTTAACATAGAAGGGCATATTCTGAATATTGCACCCACCCCCTCCTTGAAGTAAAGTCCTCCCTTAAGATCTGAGTTGGGGTCCCCACTCAGTGATTATTCGTACCTACCCTGCTTCTTGAGTTCCTCCACCCAAGGAATGGACATGAGACTAGAGGCAAGAACAGTGGCTGGCGGCCTCTTTTGAGAACAAACAACCTTATGACTTTCTTTCTCTTCCCCTTTAGAGATGGTATCAATTTTCAGAGACTCAGGAAGAACAGGGCTCAGAGATTTCTCTGCCCAATTACCGGGGTTAACCAAATTTTTACATTAAGCCTTGGCCAAGACACTGTGAAACTGTGATTTACATATCTCTAGTTATCTTGAGGAGCATTGAGAAATTCTCAGATTAAAAAAAAGAGAGAGAGAAAATAAAGTTTAATTTGTATAATTTTTATAGTGCCACAATCAGAAAAGGCTATCTAGGGTGGGTTCATGAACTCAGAAGGTGGGGGAATACAAAAACAAACAAAAAATTGAAAATTTGTTAAATATTGAAAATCACTATAGTAAGCAAAGAATAATATAGTAAGCATAAATGATGTCCTTGATCTACAACTACAGTGACTACCTAACTAGCAGGATTTTTTAATAGGGCTTTTAAAAAACAGACATTTGGGCAATTTGGGGCTGACCTAGTTCACTGGAATTCTGCTATACTGGCTGTTCAGTTGTGGTGGATGTAAAATGTGCTGCTCAAAACATTTATTTTATTTTACTTTACCGATAGAGAGGAAGAGAGAGAGAAAAACATGGATTTGTTGTTACACTTATTTATGCGTTCATTGGTTGATTCTTGTATGTATCCTGATGGGACAATGCTCTAAACCAGTGGTTCTCAACCTTCCTAATGTTGTGACTCTTTAATACAGTTCCTCATGTTGTGGTGACCCCCAATTTCATTGTTACAAATTGAACATAATTAAAGTATAGTGATTAATCACAAAAACAATATGTAATAATATATGTGTTTTCCGATGGTCTTAGGCAACCCCTGTGAAAGGGTCATTCGACCCCCAAAGGGGCCACGACCCACAGGTTGAGAACCGCTGCTCTAAACAATTGAGCTACTGGCCAGAGTGCTGCTTTTATTTTTTTAGCTTTCTAAGATAGCAGTAGCAAGAATGATTACAATTTTGTAGTCTATCTGCCACTTTTCTCCCAGGTCTGGCTCCAAAAGCCCCCCAAAGCAAGCCACAACTATACTAGTAGACATAAGAGCAGATAGAGGTATTACTGTCTACTGGGTAGACTCTACTCTTTACTTTGTCTTGTCCCCAGGAGTTCTGAGACTATAGGCTTGATAATGATATAGTTAGCATTTATGAAGCACTTGACATGTTCTAGCACTTTCCAAGCACTTTGCATATATTGATTCATTTGATCTCATAACAACCCACTAAGCTACCTTCTGTCCATGTTCCATTTTACATATAGGAAAACTATGGAGCAGGGAAGTAACTCCTCAGCATTATGCCGCTTCCAGGGGCAGGAGGGAATCTGAGCCCAGTCTGACTTCACAGTCCACACTTGTAACTACCAGTACTACACGCCTGTTAGTTGCTGGGTAAGTGTAACTTCTTGCCTTACTGAGATGGAGGCGTTAGGATGGAGGCTTCTGCCTCCATATGTTTCCTTTTTATAAAAAAAAAAAATTTACGTCATTTTTCACTTTTCAACCTCGACATTCAATAACTTACTAAGTGATCATCCAGTTAAATCTTGGATCCATCTGACATCATAGATAGTTATTGGAATATTATTGACTATATTTCCTATGCTGCACTTTACATTCCCATGACTATCCTGTAACTACCAAGTTGTACTTGTTAATCCCTTCACATTTTTCACCCATCCCTTCAACCCCCCTCCCAGAAAAGAATGTTTTTGGGCCACAAGATTGGTTTCGAAAAATCAAGCTTACCCACAACTCGATGGTGAAAACTTAAAAAAAAATTTTTTTTTATTAATTTCAGAGAGGAAGGGAGAGGGAGAAAGAGATAAAAACATCAATGATGAGAGAGAATCATCAATCAGCTTCCTGCTACATGGAATCGAGCCCACAACTTGGGCATGTGCCCTGATCAAAAATTGAACTGTTTCATAGGTCGATGCTCAACCACTGAGCCATGCCAGCTGGGCAACAGTGAAAACCTTAAATAGGGGGAATGAGACACTGTGTTTGTAAGAGTTGTTATAAGTGAAATTCATGGCTAAGCTGCCCACTCCCCACTGAGGGGATGCAATTGCTGACATGGAAGGGCCTCATGCTGTACCCACACGTTGGATACTCTGACATAGCGGGTCTGAGAAGGGGCACAGGCCTGTGGACTTTTAAAGCTCCATGTGGTTCTGATTGAAAGGGCTGTTTCAAATCCTGTTCAAACCTCTTGTGAGGAACATAAGACTCAAACAGGTTAAAAATGGGGGCAGGTGTGGGGTGAAGGGGGTCAATAAAAAAAAGACATAAAATTTTAAAGAAAAAAGCAAACAAACAAAAAAAGGTTAAAAAATAATAAAAATAAACATAGCCAAGGTCCATGCATAGTTAGTGGCAAAAATAAGACTTTTCCTTGCTATTCTATTGTTCAAAAAATAGAAAATTCATTGGTTTGTTGCCTTTCTATACATAAGTTTAAGCCAATTTGTGTCTTTCTCTCCAATATATCAGTTACCTTTTCTATTATAAGACCTAAATCCTCTACTTTCGAAATCTCTCTCTCGCTCGCTTTCTCCATCCCTATTCTCTCCCGTTTCCTTTCTTTCTATCTCACAATTTACTTCTGCAGCTCTTTTTTTCCCCCAGGGATTTACATTACATCATATACCATAATATATCAGACTCAACATGTCTAAAATAAAGAATGTTGCATTCTTTTCCCCAAAGCTGATCTTTTTTTGGACACTGTTATTTCTGTTGATAATTTCTCTGGGTCTGCAGGCTCATTTTGAAGTTATCCTTGATTCTTCTGCCATTTTTCCTCTGTAATGACTCTATAATTTGGGTCTTTCTCTCCAATACATCAGCCCATACTCCATTCCTTGTCATCACCTCCACATACTGTCCCTGTCACAATGATTTTAATTAGAATAATTGGCACTAGCTGTTGTAACAAACAACACTTACATCTCAGCCATTTGACTAAATAAACTTTTATTTCTCACTCACATAAAATCTAATACAGATGACTTCATGGTGGGTGGCTCTCTTCCAAGTGATGACTTATGGATTCCACCCTCTTTCTTAGGCAGCTTCCCCATCTTGAATCTGTAGCTTCATGGTATCCTGACATCATGGAACTGGCAGATGGGAGTTTAGATAAACAGTGTGAGAAGACACATCTGCTTTTAACTTCTTCAGACTGAAAATTACCACATCTGTTCATTATCCATTGATAAAGACAGTCACATCACCATATCTAGATGTGAGGGAAATAAAGCTTAGCTCTATGCCAAGAAGACAAAGCCTGTCTGTGCCAAAAGACCAAAATTGTACTTCCTGCTTCCAGGCTGTCCATTGTTTCATCCTCAACATCACTATTAATTCATGGTTCAAAAGCACCACTTTGCCTACATTGCTCTTATGCTCAAAACTTTTTAAAATTCTCCATCAACAGTGGTTGATGGAGGACACAGTGGTTGACTCTTAGCTTGGCTTTTAACTCACTCTATAGTCTTCTTCCAAACTAATCACCCCAAGTGATATGAGTGAGGAAATATTCTAAATAAAGGAAAGAAGATGTGAACATAGAGGTAGAAAAAGGTTCATTGCTCAATTGCCATAAAAAGACACTGAAATTATTTGACTATACTTTTTCTGTCCTTTCCCTCCATATCCTAAACTCCCCACTTTTTATCATGTTATTTTCCTTTCACACTACCTTTGTCCATTTTGTCTTTCTTCCCCCTCTCCTTCTTTCCTTCATTTCCCTTCTTCCTTCTATTCTTAGTGGCTTCCTACCTTATGAAAATCATGGGAAGAATATTCTGAAAGCCTGTCTGGTGTTGCTCAGTGGTTGAACGTCAACCTATGAGCCAGGAGGTCACGGTTTGGTTCCAGGTCAGGGAACATGCCCAGGTTGTGGGCTCAATCCTCAGTAGGGGGTATGCAGGAGGCAGCTAATCAATAATTATCTCTTATCATTGTTATTTCTATCTCTCTCTCCCTCTCCCTTCCTCTCTGAAATTAATAAAAATATATTTTAAAAAGAATATTCTGAAAGAGACAGAAGGATGAACTAGGCCCAATGAATCTCTGCTCTCAGAGAGTTTGCTATCATAAAATACAAATAACTGTTAAGCTATCAAAATATAGTAAATGTTAAGTATCAGAGGAGAGGCACAAGTTGAATGTTATGATAATCCAAAGTACAGATTGTATTAGCCATATCTATTGATGACAAGCAAAAACATTTATATTCTTCATCATTTTCTACATTATATAAATAATCACTTCTTTTCTTTAGTGACCCTAAATTCACATATTTTCAATTTACAAAAAGTTTTTACAAATCCACAGGAAGCTAATGAACAAATACAATTTTTTAAATGGCAAAGAACATGATTAGAAGAAGATAAAGCACTAACAAGAAATGGTGAAGAGTTGAAGTTCCAGAAACATCCTACCTGGACTTGAATTCCAACTTCTCTAATTTATCTTGTGGAAGGAAAGCATAGCAAAGTGCCCTCTCAAAGCATCCTCATGAACACTGATGGCTCACA